AATATATATATATTATTGAATAATCAGTGGATCACAGAAGAAAACAGGGAAGAAATTTTAAAAAAGTTCCCAGAACCAAAGGACAATGGAAACATGATGTGGCATAGCCTATGGGACAGAATGAAAGTACCGCTATGAGAAACCTTTACAGCGTAAATGCGCACTTAAAACCAATAGTGTGATTCCCAGGAGATAATCTAATGACGCAACTCAAGGTCCTGGAAAGAAATAACCAAATCTGACACTAATCCAAGGAAAGAAATGAAGATCCAAGTGGAGAACAATGAGATTGAGACTCAAACACAACACCAAGGGTCAATGGATCCAAGAGTTGGTTCTGGGAAAGGGCGGGAAGGAGCTGCTGGGATGCGAGGGGAAGGGAGGGGAATTCAAAAGGATCAAGACCAAACCACACCAGTAGTGATGAATGTATCTACCATGTCTTGCAAACACATACTAATAAAAAAAAATGTGAATAAAAAAGGAGGAACCAAACAGCCTTATAGTAAGAAAGCTACATGAACCTGCTGGTCTGTGATGGGCTGGTCCGGAAAGGGTTTCACTCGTCCATAGGTGGCCTTGATGACCTGGCTTCTGAAATGCTCCAGCTGTGACACAAAGGGGGTGGTGACAGGTCAGTCGGGGTTTGAGGGGTATAGGTATGTGGGGGGTGGGATGGTGGGTGGCATTTCCATCATGGGGCTTTGGAAGAAAGTCCCGCTCGCCTTCATGGTCATCCTGTTGTCAAAATCTTGAGGCTTTGCACAAGGAAAGAACAGGGTTTAATGACTTTGCAGACAGCCTGCTCAGCCCAGCCCAGCCCAGTCCAGCCCAGGTGCGCGGTGCTGAGCACACGCATCTCAGGCTGTGGGAAGAGCCGCTTACTGCCAATCATCCAACGGGAAGTCTGCGGCCCAGAGCTCGTCTATAATTACTAAGTTGGCACCAGACTGTGAAATGAATATTGAAGCTGTCAGCCACAAATAAAGCGTGTCATCTGCACAGGTGCCTGGGGACAGGAGAATGGCCTTTCATCTGCTATTTTGTGTCTTAGACCAAATGTGCCATGGACACTGTCTATTGTGGCTGTTTCCACATCCTCCGAGCCCAGGACAGGGCCAGGGATGAAGGTGTCACTCAGCAAGTGTCCACTGGGCGCTGGGATACAGAAACACCTGTGGTGGTCAGGTGCCTCTGTGTCAGTCCCAGCAGCTGGCGTTGGTTGTCTGCCGTGTGCTGGTATTGCAGAAAAAGGTGGGTGGGGTCAGGGCCGGGCCCCAGTCAGCAGAAGCAGAATCAAGGTCCTGGACTATGCGAGGGCAGAGGCCAAAAGATCCACTTTTTGGGATTGACCTGCATGGCTGCCTTTGGGTGGCTGTGTTCATGGTCTGCTGGGAAGATGTGGTCACTGAAGACTAAGCCAAGGCCCTGGAGGGACCTAAAGGGCCACCAGACCGGGGAGAAATCGGCAGTTTATGGCACATGGGGGCTTTGAGCGCCTAAGCAGTGAGATGGTGAAGACCCCAAGGCCGAGTTGGAGGTCCTCCTGCCAGAGCAGATAGGGTGACAGGAGGCGGTTGCAGGGTCCCAGCTATAGAGAGCCACTGCCCAGGAGGGAGGGAGGGGTGGGCATGTGCTCCTGGACTGTGGGCTCTGTCCTGAGGTCACTCAGCAAGATGGCAGACCGAGTCAGGGCTGGGCAGGAGGAGCCTGGTGGCAGAGAGAGGGCTGATCTTCTCTCTTCTGAGTTCGCACCCAAGGAGACTCAGGGCTGTCCCGGGTGACCTCTGTCCAGAGCCACAGTGAGGACCTTGGCTCTTGGGCAGGGTGTACGGGTCCTTCCTTGGGTCAGGTGGGTCTTGGAGGGTGCAAAGGACAGAGGAGAGAAGGCAGCCCAGAGGTTGTCCAGGTAGCACAGCCTAGGCCTGTGACAATGGGCTGGAAGACTGGGAGAAATGACACGTGTGTGTGTGTGTGTGTGTGTGTGTGTGTGTGTGTGTGATGCATGTCTGCTGAAGAGGCTCTAACATCTGCCGAACAGTTAGCATTTTTATTTAACGTGTGTATACCTCTCACATCAATGTGAGAACAAAGCCTTGGCCCTGCAGCCTGGTGAGCACAGGACGGCAGCCAGCGGAAGGGCTTCAGGCACTGGGCTGGCAGTGCATGGCGTCCTTTGTGGACTGTGGTCCTTAACCTTTACGGGGGTTCACAGCCCTTTGGAGAGCCGGAATGACGCGGTGGGTCCTCCCTCCCAGAAATAAGCAGCTCTCGTCTGTCTCTGTTTCTCTTACACACACACACACACACACACACACACACACCATATGTGGAAAGAGAGCTCTTCAGTGACGTCCACTGGCATGGGCAGCTGGGGAGATGGCTCAGGGGAATAAGTGCTTGCCCTGCAAGCACAGGGGCCTGAGTTCAGCCCCCGGTTTCACCAAACAAGTAAACAAGCAAACAAAAAAATGGGCAGCCAAAGAGAACACTTGCCTTGAGATTGGGAGAGAACAAGCCACGCCCCTCCTCCTCCCCCCTCAGCCTTCCTCCTCTGCCACCGCCAGTGCAGGGGGACGCAGCCTACCTGACCTACTGCCCTTTCCAAATTGATCTTAATGAGGCTCTCTCTGTTCCCCATTTCCTGCAGCTGGAGCAATTTCCTCCTGGAATCCTCCTGAAGTTTCTCTTCAACCTGAAAGGACCATGAAAGCACGTGCTCGCTACTAATGCGGTGCTAATGCACCCTGGGGAACTTCCTCTAGGACGTCTAATGGCCATGGTGGCCCCAGCGGGGTAGGGACAGCTGCAGCCCACTTGGCAGGGGCTGCGCGGTGGCACAGGTGCAGGCTGGCGCCCCGGCTGACCATCTTTGTCTTCTCCTGCGATGGGATCCTGGTGCTGTCTCTAGCAAGGAGTGTGACCCTGGGGGGAGCCACTTTACTGGTCTGTGACCTGTGTCCTTTGGGGACACATGAGGACACAGATGCCTGTACTGTCTCCAGGAGAACGTTTAGAATGGTGCCGGACCTTGGTCAGGGCCCTGTCCCTGTATTAGGGATGGGTGTCATCGAAACTGGTGGCCAGGAATGTCTGCTGTGCCATTTTATTCTAACACCCTGAGGCATTGGCCTACGAAGGGCCTCGGTGCAGGTGACGCTTGGCTTTGCTGCCCTCTCCACTTGTCAGGTGGAAACAGGTCTGGGAGCTCAGCCATGGCCATTAAGAGATTGCAGCCTGCAAAGGAAGGTGCGAAGAGGGGAAACACTACTGTTCACTCCCTTGCTCGCTAGCGGTCTGCGCGCGAAGTGAGCCGGGAGTGCTCGGTGCTTCCCCCTCGTGGCCGCCCTGCGGCCTTGCAGCCTCATGGTTCGGCTCGGAACTGCATTTTGTGAGCAACTTCTGTGCTGAGGGCTCTCGCGCTGCGCCGAAATGAGGTGAGCTGGCCCACATGGAAGCATTTGGTGTTGAAAGAACCTCAGAAGCTGTTTCTTAGGGCGCTGGGGAGGGGCGCGCGATGTAATAAGAGACCCCCCACACGCTGGGTGTGCGGCGCATGGCAACACTCTGGGAGGCTGAGGAAGGACAGTTGTGTTTTGAGCTCTGTCTGGGCAACTTAGTAGGATAGTGAGACCCTGTCTTAGAATTTATGGGGCCGGGGAGATAGCTTAGTAGAATAAACACTTGCTTGGCAAGCGCAAGGGCCTGAGTTCAATTCCTGGTTCCGCAAAAAAAAAAAAAAAAAAGGCTGGGGGTGTAGCTCAGTGCAAAGTGCAAATCAAAAAACAAAACCACCCACGCAAGCCCTTCAGAGCTCTCTTCTGAGCAGTGTTGACAGCTGAGAGCTCTGGTATTGTCGTTACCTGGAAAAGCCGCTCGCCTCCCAGGCCTCAGCCCCTTTCTGCACCACCCTCCCCACCGGAGCGCACCTGGCATGTGTCCTGCAGGGGTTTCTGAACGCTGGAGGCTGGAGGCCTCTCCTGGACCTGCTCTGTGCTGCTCATCTCAGTGTGTGGCCCCCCTGCTCCCCAGCCCCACACCCAGAGCCCTTCCGGCTGCCACCATGCTGCACCTGTCGCACGCAGCGTGGCCACCTCCACCATCCTATTCTTCTGTCCCTGTGGGAGGAGGAGCTTATCAGTGCCTCAGTCCCGGGCTCACTGAGCTCCGGCCTGTGTGGCCTTTGGCTGGGCAATGGGCAGCCTCAGCTGATGGGAAGCGGCCCTCAGCATCACCAGGCTGAGTGCTCCAGGACGACATGCAGAGGACAAGGTCTGGGCCATCTGGTGGGGTGGCCGTGGCCACATCTGCCCACTGTACATGTGAAACATGGTCAGAGGCCTGTTGGGCTTCGGTTTACCTTCTTGCTCAGCGGAGGTCCTGAATTTTAAGTTTTATTTGAAAATAAAATGTATTTTATTTCAACAAAGATACAGAGGGATAGAGGGTTTAAAAAAATTTTTTTTATGTATTTGGTACAGGGTCTCACTAAACAGCTCAGACTCACAGTGATCCTCCTGTTTTCATCCTCCCCAGCACTGGGATTACAGGCAAACACCACCCTGCCCAAACTCGGTCACTGGCTCAGTGTGCTCAGGGAGGGCCAGTGTGACATGAGGGACTGGGGATTGAACCTTGTCCCTGTCCTTGCCAAAGCAGGTGCTTTATCTGCTGAGCTATCTTGCCAGCCCTGGACTTGAATTTTATGTGTTCTTCATTTTCTAATTCTAATGTGCCGAGAGGCCACACCACAGTGACTGGCCTTGCACAAACCTGGGCATCGCCGCCTCCTTCCCCACTGCAGGGTGTGGGTCTGTCCCTGGCCTCTGAGCGTTTATCTCACCCCTCACTCCTTCATCTATAAAGCAGGCCTGACACTGTCTAGATTGGAGAGTGGGTGGGAAGGTGGAGCGAGATAAATGCCTGGCGTCGTGCCTGGGACAGGAACAACTACAGCCCTGGCTTTGCTATCATAGCTAGTCACGACCTTAATCGCATCCATCCCCTGTCCAAAGGCCTCAGGAGCCCCTGGCCCATCTGCACCATTTGCCCAGTCTCCAAAATGAAGACACCAGGCCGGAGGTTCAAGAACCCATACGAATTCCAAATAAGACAAATAAAAGTGAGTCCATACCTACAGAAATTGCAGCAGAGCTGCCATACATTGAAGGAATAGAAGAGTCTTTGAAAACAGCCAGAGAAAATATAGGTTATAGGAGTGCCGTAGCCAGGCTCTGAATAGAAATAATGGGGCTGCAGGCAGCAGAATGACGGCCTCGGCTTAGCACTGCCCTGCTGCTGGGATGCTGCTGCAGGTCCCCGGTGTGAAAGGAGGCTTGTCTGCTTCACACTTCAGGCTGAGGCGGACACAGCAAGTGGACAGGTCTGGGTGTAGGACAGCGGCTCAGCCCTTGGCTGCCAGGCAGCAGAGAGGAGGGGGAGGGGCTGGGGTAAGGACACACCCTTCTGGGTCACCATCCCAGGGACAGCCGACCACACCCGCCTCTTGGCAGCCAGCCAGCAGCACACTGGGGTCCAGTCACCTCCCATACCCAGGAGGCTTTCGGGGCCACTGTGAGCGGGATCAGACTGTAGTGTTATCTATGATGTGACGAAGAACACACCTCAGTCCCCAGTCAAATGAGAGTTAACGAATGAAGGCTAAAATAGGTATTTTTAGACATCCCCCACCCCTACTTGTCATCAGCAGGGTCACATGGAGGGACAACGTAAAAACGTGGTCTTTCAGATGGAAAATGAACCCAGACAGGTGATCAGATACAGACTAGGCACAGCCAACATGTAGCTATGCACATGGGGTGTATAAAACATTAATGTAACTATGAATATGTAATTGTTAAACATCAGCATCATTTTTTTTTT